GGAGTCCCCGCCCCGCGGCCGGCTGAGACCAGTGTCAGTCCCGGCCTTTCGTTTTCCACAACTGTGGAGTGCGTGGTGTGTGGTATCCTCTAACACAAAGAGAAATGGAATAAAAACGTGAACTACAATTATTGCTCCCTCATTTTTCAACCAGGTTCTCCGCAGGTAGCACTTGACAGCGTGTCCACTAGGAACTGCTGCTGCAATAGCTTCTAATTTATGTATTAGCAATTACTTGTTCTTGCGTCTGTTATACATATTTATGAAACTAAAGCCAAGCTCCATCCATCATCGTGCAGTCTGTAATGTCAGTGTGTTGCACTGTGACAATAAGGAAGCTAATTGTGCAGTCACTATAATAGTTCACATTTCTTGAATTTTATCAGTCCATTACTTCCCTGCAGACCACTTAGACAACTGGTAAGGTTTATACATAGATAATTTGTAATCCATCTGAAAATGAAACCAGACCTTTCAGTAGTGAGACCTTGATTTATATTCCCCTTGAACCGTGTTACATTCAAGATGCTCACATTCTAAAACAGTGTTTGGCCTTTGCTCAGTGTTACCACTGAGATGCTGTCAGCTCTGTTAGTGCAAAATAATGCCCAGTAACCCAATCTTCTTGTAAATTGCTTATTCCTATTTATTCCGCTTTGATTCCAGCAAAAGCGACCAGTAGAGGGCTGCCTTCTTTTAAAATACTCACACGGGAGAAAATGAGGTGGGTTAATAAAACATTAAGCAAGGGAAAGTTCAAGTAACTGGAGAAAACGGCAGAGTGGCTGGTACAGAAAAATACATTAAAGGTAGTCAGCTGGGTTAAAACTGCTTTATGCCAGTTTTTGCACACATTACAAAATGTTTTTGCAGTAACTCAAAGAAACGTTTGTACAAGGTCGGCCAAATTCAAACTTGATGTGACTAGCTTTAACACTACAGAAAAGAGGCCTGATAACACAATTTAAAAGGAAATAAAGACTTTACATTTCACTTATAATACATTCCTATTTACAAGATAGGTCGGGCATGGTAAGTATAATCACCTTTTTATAAATAATATGATAGAAATTTACAAGCATTTATGGTATCTCCACTTGTGAGTGGCCAAAGTCAGCTGGGAGTCCTTCCTCTGCCAACGAAAAACCTGGTTTACTAAAACCATGCCCTCTTCAATATTCCCCACAAGGAGGTATACCACGGGACGATAGGTTGGAGTCATCCTCTGTGTGCAGTTTTCATTGATAAGCAGCCACTGTTGTATCATACTCTGAGTTTCATAAGGTGGGATTGAGCCCTGGGTGACAAATTCCACTTGGCATTCAATGTTATACTCTCGGTCACCAAACACTGTTCTCTTCCTGGACAGCTTTACTTTCACAGCTGAAGAAAAAGAAGGAAACATGTAAGTCACTCCTGTTACTCAAATGGAGAAAGAAACACTACACATGAGAGCAGGATGATTCCTTAAAAATACTTCCATAATTTATGGTGACAGAGTATGGCAAGGCCTTCTCCAGCAGCAATATGCATTTTAAAATGTTTTTTAAAAATAAAGGTTATGTAGTAAAGAATTTTTTTTTTTCATAGAATTAGGCAACCGCGAAAAAATATTTTCACAAAAGTGAGTGATATATTTTTACCATCACCATGTATATGACTTTTTTTTGATAGTGAGATATTGTAAGGTGGTGGTTGTGGTCTTGCACCACAAGGCTGCCCAACTTGCCCAAGCAATTTTCCTGAAACTCACTTTGTCAATGTTAGGAATCTCTCAGCAAAAATAGCTCATCATGCCTGCTGATACCACCTTTTCAGATATTCTCCTTTCATTATTGGCATCTACCTAACCCACTTAACACCAGCAACATTTTTTAGCATGAAATTTCTCTACACCTCTTGATCTAAAGCCGGTGGAAGTCTCTGAGAGTGTGCACTGACATCAGTGGCCTTTGCAGGATTTTTCCAGGGCAAACACTAAGTATTTCCTGTCATTCCAATAAGACAACACAAGGTAACAATTTCTTCTACTGATATGATTTTCCAAGTATCATTTTCAGTGAGCTATGTATCACAAAAAAATAATGCACACAAGTAACAAGGACATGCCATTCACTGGTAAAACACCAAAACTTTTCTTTGGGTTTAACTGCTAATGTAGAAGCAAATCTTTTGTCTGCTTTTGCCAGAAATATTTTCCATAAAGCACGTCGTACTACAATATACCCGACTGGACAAGAAGAGAAGAGCTATTTGGTTGCAAACTAGATCATTAATAAGTCCTTCACACAAAATAAATCCTCCTTACATTTTGATTAGGAATAACATATTCTGAAAAACAACCCAAAGTTAAATTGGCAGCCAAACTCTTAATCCTTTGAAATCCCAGTGGAAACTGGCACTTATTGTAATCCTAATTTTAAAGCACTTTAGAAGGATAGTTGTCAGTCTTCTGAAGAGCAACCATATTAGCAAGGACTTACCAAAGTTACTGTCACAGAAAACTTCTAGAACTCTTTTGTGCGTAAAGAATTCCTCCACTGCTGGGCAGGTCTGGCAGGCAGGCTTGGGTAGGACTGGTAAGAAATTGCAAAGTGTCATCATTATCTTTTAGAGTCTTTTGTTTTAATTTTCTGCTGTCAAAGCTGAGAGCCCACTGTTTAACTACAGGGATGACAGAGAAAGTACACAATTGGTCAGCAATAACCCAGGAAGTCTAGACGCTTCTCTGAAAACACAGCTGGGAATGAAAAGGAGATTCATTTTCCATGCACATTCAGTCCTTGTTCAGACTGACAAGCTCAATTATCAGCATCAAATACAGTAAAAAATACAATACTATTTTTCATATAGCTACAGTGGGTGGGAAAGGGGTTAGGTGACTGATTCTGTCAGTGACTCTGGGTGCAGCTGCACTACGAATGTTAATATATTAATTTCGGTGTGCAAGAAGCAACTGATTCCTGCTATCTGGAGAAGTTAATAAACCTGAGTGCATTTGAGGATTTGAACGTTAGTGTTATGATAACTCAGGTTTCCCAAAAGAAAATCAGGTAATAAACCATCCCAACTTTTCTAAGCTGATCTGAGAACCAATTCATTGTATACGTGAATTTGTTTGTGATGAGGACCCTTGATAAGTCTATAAAGAGACTTCAAAATAAATCAAACACAGTGTGCTGTCACGGGTGTGATACTGCCCACAGCTGTTCAGGGTGATAATTGCCTTCCTCTGCTATCTAAGTGTGGAACTATCTACACTTTATTTTTTTGAAGGGATGCTGGTCTACATGATCTGAGGTCTGCTGCAGCTTACACCACAAGCACTAGCGCTTTCCCCTGCCCCCTGCCCAAATGGGGCGAGGCAGGACAGATAGACACGAGTCCATTTACACAGACTGCCTGGGAACAGCGTCCCCTCTATCTCCTTGATTCCCAGGACACCGAGCATGGCCACCCTTCCCTCCTGCCATCTTCCAGCTACCTTTGTGCAGGTATTTATGTTCCTTTGTGAGAGAAGCCAGGCACATATCCTCGTCCGCAGGGAATCGAGCGCAGTCCAGGCTGTGGGGCCAGGGGTGGCCGTGGCAGGCGAGCACGGGGGCGCAGCTCTCGCGGACGGCAATGCACATGCTCCTGCAAGGATGGATAAACCTGTCGCGGGGGAAATTCCAGGCTGAATCAGTTAAACCCACTCAGTGACAACAGAAACGACTGCAACAGCGATGTCTGTGCAAAGTGCACCGTCTTCACTGGTGTTTGACACCCTTCAATACAAATACAATTCTAGGAGCACCAGCTGTGCAAGCTGCGCAGGTGGTCTGTGGGTGAACCGGGTCGAGTTTACAGGAGTAAGTCACAGGTTTTAAAATGCTTTTAGTACAACCTGAGAAAAACTTCAGCCTGAGCCTGAAACTGTTCACAACAGGTGCTTCAACCCTAATTAACAAGAATAAAATTCTGTAACAAAATAAAACATGATAGCCTTTGACAACGGCATTCATTTTTCCCAAGACAAACTAAAGTTGGAGTAGACCATGTTTTCACTAATTTTCTTTCTAATAAGTACAACAAAGGTAACTATCATTTCAGAAAAAGTGGAAATCACCTTTAGATTAAGATGAACATGCATTTAATTTGATCTCTGTTCTGGCAAGTAAATGCTGGAGTTTGTACTGTGCCGTGGTACTTACGTATCTAAACAGATGGGTGCGAACAGGGAGCACAGGAACGTCCTCACGTGAGGGTGACAGTCTGTGTGCACAAGGTGCTGCCAGGTGGTGGATTTTAGGATAACCTCTGCCATGCTTGTGTGTCCCATCAGGTTGGGAAGCCTCATTTCAGAGTATCCAATCTTGTGGCACATGTCCATCTCCTTGGGTATCACTACACATTTTGTGGATAATCCAATGTCAAAGCCTGTGGCTGCCCGTAGGAAAACGCTCACAGCAAAAACAAGTATTTTTGCAGTCAAGAACATCTTCCAGTGACTCCTGGGCTGCTGAGCAGAGAGCTGTCAATCCCCCCCACCCCGAGCACAGCGGCCTGCTGAAAACCTTGTGGTTTATATATCCCAAGAGCTTAATGAACTGTTGGTTATCAACTGCTTATCAAATCACTCGAGACAAGGTAGGTCTTATTGCCTATTCAAGGGATTGTTGTGATAACCAGGGAGGTGGAGACAAAGAATAGAAGTATGTTCCCTAAAGACACCGACGTGGTATAGCCTTTCACGTGTCCCACGGTGTCAGCTGCTGCAGCGTGCTATGTGGCATATTAAATTTTGACACCTAGAAGGTTTGCTATGTGCTTTCTAAAACAAATTAAGAGATCCCCCAGAAAAACGGTTAGGCAGACAAGCTGTCTCCTGGGGCTGCTGTGTCTCCTTTGTTTTCAGACACTGCTGACAGGACAGAAAAAACAACCCAGATTGACTTATCAAGTGAAAATGTTTTGCTTGTGCTAATTGCTCATGTCTCTTCCACTGGTTTACAATGTAGAAAAGGTACTTTCTTTGGCCAAGAGCTATAAAAGAGACAGCCTCCTGCTATTAACCAAGTATTTGGTCTGGAAGTTTGAATTCCTATGCTGTGACATGGTAAAGGTCTCAACTTCTATTAATTTTAATAGACACCTGAAAATACAGAATCACTTTAAAGACTGGAGTGTGTGCCTATGAGATGGCTACAGAACTTGCATCTTTCATGTATTCAAGTTCAGTGATGAATTTAATACTGTAGGACTGTTGTGGCTATCAGTATTTATTCAGAGTGAAAAACCAGTTACATATATGGAGAAACATTTTTATTATTTCAAATGAACCTGGCTACATTTAAAATTGCTCAAAAAATGCAGTTTCACCTACTTATTAATAAAGTATGATTACATTAAGCTGTATGAAAACAAGTGATACCAGATGTGTACTTTTCCTGTTTGTAGCACAAAAAAATAGCATCATATTTCTGAGGTTAAAAGTTAAAAGAATTACTGACTGAGTACTTCATTGGTATAGTCCTGATAAACAGCTCTTCACTGCAGAGAAGCTGGGGAATCAGTTAACATGGCAGAGGGTCTGGGTAATGTGTAGCTTACCTATTATGGACAGAAATGTCAGATTATTAGTTAAAAGAGCTGAAGATCTAAACAAAACATTTGGTGGAAATTTCTAGCTTGATGAAAACATTTTTCCAATTAGTTATAGGTGTTTTTTATTTCCATTTCTTATTACATGATTATTAGCAGAAATGTTTAGATATTAATAACGTGTAGGTGGATCTGTTGCAAAACATCTGGCTTGATTATTAGGCTAAAATGACTATTTTCATAGTAGTGTATCATCGACTATTATTGATGCTTGATTCAAATTTTTCAGAAATAGCAGCTTTTTGTGCTTATACATAGATATTACATATTTATACTATCACGTGCTATGTATCATTTACATGTTTATTCCTAGTTGCTAGTTTATTAATCCTACTATCCTGAAAACAGTTACAAATCCCTACTGATTCTTCCTTAGCTGTCTTCTTTACTCTAAGCTACTGGGAAAATTACAGTATCTGTTTAAAGAAGTAGAAATAAATTACAGCATGCAAGGTTCCAGGGACTAGAAACATATTTAAAACAATTGTCAGGTTTCTTTTTTCATGTTTTCTTACCATGTCTGTATTTTTTCCAGCAATTGTGGTTTCTCTGTACCAGTTATCTCACTTCAAAGCAGACGAACTGGATGCCCAACCAGGCTGATTCAGGCCTGATGGTAGCATCCCTTTGCCAGGTGCTTAATGTATTCTGTAAGAAGTTGAAGAGCCTTGCCAAAACTCAGTGAAAGTCCTGTTCTTGCCCTGTCTATGCAGGTATCCCTGGGGGTCACACTCACGCACTCCCGTAGCTGCCGTTTTGCAGTGACGTGAGGGCACAGCGCTGCTCGGCACAGGGAGGGGGCAGAGCCTCGTGCCCAGCCGACCTGCACAGCTTCCTGGGGTGCCTTTGTGGGATCACCTGGCTCTGGGGTGCTCAGAGCAAAGGCGTGAGCCTGACATCCTATGGACAGGCACAGCTGCCCAGAGCACAGAGCTCAGCTCACACAGGCTCCAGAGATCTTGCAGTCACTCTGCTGTCTCTCACCGGAGCAGCACTTCGGTATTCAGCAACTGGAGTGAAACTGGACTCCTTATACGAGTGTCCCCCTTAACCAGCAGGCTTCTGCATCCATCCACATTGCTGATGTCATCAACTCACCACATAATTTTACTAAATTAATGGAATTACTCTCTGGTCCTAATTCTTTTGCACTACTTTTCTCATCTGATTGCTATCTGAAAGTAGGTGGCAAACTCTCTGGTGAAGAAGGCCTTTCCATTGTATGTGGGCCATGGTATTACATGCACATTTCTGAGTGATATAAAATATATATATATAAATATATATATGTATAAAAGAGTACCAATACTTCACCTGACAAACTTAGTCTCTATAAGAACTGTCTTAGAAATAAATGTGGATCTGAGTGGGTTTCCTGCGGGGGCTTTGCAGGGGGTAGGTCATTTATGAGCGATTGCAGAGCTGTACTTTGAAGTTTCTTTTAGCCTCAGATATGTCTCAAAGTAGGCCAGCTACCTTTAATGTTTTGCTTTTGGCAAGCTGACTTTCAATGTCTCATCATTTTGTAATGCTAAAGAAAATAATTTTTCTCTGTGTAAGTACAGTGGTATCTTTGGAGGCTGAGGGCATGACCATGCAGGAGGGGTAAGACCTCTGTGAGTCAGGAAGGAGCTGCACTCCACTGCTTGGCCACATCTGGCATGGTGCTTCAGTGGGGTGCCTGGAGGATTCGAGGATACAGAGGAAACTCCATGGTTTGGCCATCAGAAGAATGGCAAGCCACCCACTTTGCTTCTGTTCCTTCATGTTTTCTTGCTGTTTTAACGGAAGAAGCCATTCACCCTGCGAATAGCAAGACTTCACCTCTTTGTCAGGGATGACAAAGTTCAACTGAGGGCTGAAGAATTTTCTCCAGCTCTGGGAACAAAATGTGCACAAACGCCTTTGCTGGACACCTGTGACTGCACTGGGTTTAAGGCTGGATCTGAAGCCAGAGCATTATCCATAATTCATTAATTTTTGCCAGGCATCTTCTATGAGGAAAGAGGATAATTTCTGGGAGCTTCTGATTCCTCTGTCTTCTGACAGTCACTGGGTTCAAGATGTTAGCTGGATCAGATTCCTTACTCACTCTGTGCCATTTTCAGTGTCATCATGTACTGAGAAGTTTACCAATTTGACACTTCTTCTTGCTACTCTCACAAGCCACTTTTAAGCAAGGGAAAGACTTTGGCTGTGCTTCTGTTCAGGTTTAATTATTTTGAAGTTCTTCATGAGCAGATGCTACCTTGAAACTTGGTTTGACAGCAAGTCATTATCATTTATCATTTTTAGCAGGATTTAACAGTTATTAAAAATGAACATGCAAAGTAGATTACCGTTGCTTGGAGAGTGCTTCAGGTCAGTCCGATGTTGGCTCCTCAGCAGAAGTGGGAGCTGCAGCACCCACAATGCTCTGCCATATATTCTCTTTTTCTGCAAACACTCAGCTGTTCATTGACACAGCGTGGAAAAAAAAGGTCAGGCAAATATACACACAGCTTGCTTTTGGGAACACGTAAACTGTCATTTACTGTTGTCACACCAGTTAAACATTCAAATTGCACCAAAGCTGGCGTAGGCACGGCATTTTGAATTGTAGTGATGTATGTGTGCAGAGGTTGCTTGAATAAAGACTGCCTAAAATGAAAAAAAAAAATATTGTAGCAAACTATCACGAGCACATTTTGAGTGGGCAGCATAAAATAGAAGACCTGATGATTTAGAGAAACTTCCTTCTCAAAATCTCAAGTCCAGCTAATGCTCTTTGACACTTCTGAAGAAAGCTGTGTGGCTGTTCCCTTAGCCACGGGCTGTATTTATTGTTTCTGGATATGAGCAATGGTCACCTGCTGATGGACCCTGATAACAGGAACAGCAGCTAAAGGCTCCGTCCCTGCCCACCTCTGTCATCTCCTTTGACTGTAGCCAGGGAGACAGACAGAGATTAAGCAGGAGCCACCCATCAGACCCCAGGAAAAAATGGGACAGAACTTCTCTTCAAAGAAAGTAGGAGTTTGAGAGCAAACTAGCAGATGTAGGGATTTTTGGTTTTAATCTAAACATTTGTTACAATATTTGGCTGGAGTCATTTTTATCAGGCATCTAATTGCAGAGATGCAAGATGCTCAGACAAGGATCAAAGCTTGTAACAGTGCACCCTGAGTCACAAAAGGAGGCTGCAAAGAAGCAGTCTTCGCTCTGATGACAGCTTTGCTAGAACAACATCCTTACTCTGGGGGGTTTATTTCATAACATTTCCTTTGGTTTATGAAAAGAAACAATTAGGCCATATGGTATCTAAAACAGTGGAGGAAGATTCATGGGTGATTTTCAAAAAGGCCTTGTTAATTTTTTTTTCACGATGACTTTAGCATTGCTTTTAATTTTTTAAGGGCAGAAATACTGTATTTCCTTATAAATCTGTAATGGAAGTTGTGGAAGGTTCACTGCTCTGGCGTGTTGACCTCTGTCCTCATTACTTTCAATTGATTAACTGAGAGGAAAATTTGTTTTAATAGTGAAAGAGAAAGTCAATGCTTTGTGTGACCCAAATTTAGTTTTTGACTCTGACACAAGCTTCCTGTTGAAGCTTCAACCCTACTGCACTGTCCTCCTCCACACCTAGACTGTCCTGGTTAACAGTGCTGGGGGCCTGGGGCCCATGTTAGATGCATTCAAATATGAAGCATTCAGATGCCACAAGGGAAGGGAAGTGGCACGTAAATACCCTCACAGATTCCAAGAGTATCTCTTAAAGATACAAGGGTGCTGAATTTCATACAAAACCTGGGCAAGTAGCATTTCCTAAGTAGTCCAGGTAAATCAGGGATGAACAAAGGGCATAGGAGGATTAGACACCAGAGAGGT